GGAGGGACGCGGTCAGGCCGCGCTGTGGGACGGGCACGGGCAGCGCGGGGCTCGCGATGGGGAGAACGCGCCTTCCCGCGTCAGCCATTGCGAACACCCTGCTCTGCTGACCCGCGGGGCTGCCGACCAGCAACCGCCCCACCGCGAGAAGAACAGCGGCTACGGAAAAGGTGCAAGGAAGGAGGAAACGTCCCTGCAAGGGCGAGCGGGAGCAGACAGCTCGCTCCTGACGGACGACTGAGTAGATGGCAGAGGCTGTGACAAGCCGTGGGATCCAGCTACAACTGCACCCTCAGGGCTGCCAGGAGCTTGCTCTGCCTTCCCCGAGCAGGACAGGGGATAGGCGGTGGCTGCAGCATGGTGGGGACAGCCAGCGTGGTGGGGACGAGCAGGACAGGGGCTAGGTGGTGGCTGCAGCGTGGTGGGGACAGCCAGCGTGGTGGGGACAGCCAGCGTTGCAGCGTGGTGGGGACAACCAGCGTGACGGGGACAGCCAGCGTGGTGGGGACAGCCAGCCCCATGCCAGCTCCAGCCCCAAGCCCTCAGCTCACGTGGAGCGGCACACGAAACGCTGCGCAGACACGCTCCGAAACGCCGCTTTCTGCCTTTACGCCAGCTGCACGTTCTCAACTTCGAGTTCCTTATGATTTACATCAGGGTAAACTGCAAGCGACTCAAGCCAAGGAAAGTTTCATTTCATCGCTCAGATGTTTCCTGGAAGAAACGAGGGCCTGTGGGGTGGGGATAAGGGAGAGCCGGGGTATCAGGCTGGGAGCACCCCAGCCCAGGGTCCCCACCCCGCGACGGGGCAGGCGGGTGGCTCCCGGGTGGGAGCAGTGCCAGCGCGTTCCCCAACGGACGGGCAGTCCCAGCACGAGAAGGGCTGGAGCCTCGGCTCCTCGGACACACTGGGGCTGCTGGGGACCTCCCTGCCCCCACGCTCCTCCGACAGCACTGAGACTAAAAGCAAAGAGAGAACCTTTTCTCCTTTCCTGTAAAGAGAGCTGTGCACGGAGGGGACAGGCAAGGGGACAAGTTTTATGACGTGGGGTGGTAACGCTCTGCTGTCCCCAGCTCGTTCCCTTGATACCTGCCAGCACCGCTGTGCTGCGAGCGCAGGGAGGACAGCTCTGTGCTGTACGCACGGTCTCACGGAGCGAGAGCTACTCGCTGGGGAGGCCGAGGGCACGCAGCTGGTCGGGCGTCTCTCCAAGCGCAGCCGCTGCCGGTTGCCGTTTCTCTTTTGCATATACAGAAATGGCCACCGGAGAGAGGAGCCGGGCACCAGGCTGGCTGCTCCTGGGCTGCGAGACGAGGCTGTCCTCAGGGGACTTGTGTCTGGGTGTTGAGTACACAAGAGGCATTTTAAATAACTCGCATTCACGGTAACGGCCCCGTATCAACGCCCTGCCGGGGAGACTCCAGTAGCGGCCAGCCCTGCGAGGGACAAGCCAAGCAGACACTGCAGAGGAGGGGATCCAGACAGTTAAGGTTTCCTGTTAAGCCCCACAGCTCTATTTATGACTTTACCAGCAGCCAAATCTTAAAGAAAAAGCTTTTCTGCCACAGAAGCCCGGGCAGCCCCTTTCCCCTCGCCCTCTGGCCGCGCTCCAGCTTGCAGAGCTACGGAGTGATTAACGGGGGAACTTCGCTCCCATGGCGCGGCCAGGGCTTCCCGCACAATGGCACCACTGACGTTACCACAAACCAGCTTTCTTCTTCCTGGGAACAGCATCTGGGTTACACTGGAGGTCAGGGCTGCTCTCTCGCAGCTTTTTCCCGTATTTGTGCCGGGTGAGCTGTGGAAGCCGGCGCAGGCCAGCCCGCAAGCCGCGGGGCACCCCTCGCACAAGGCTCTGGAGGAGGTTTTTAAGTGTGCATGAGCAAAAAACCACAGCAAACAATTAACCTCACTCGTTGTCAGACTGCAGCGTGGTGGGGGGGAGCAGGGAGCAGTGGCAGTGATGCAGAGCCCATGTTCAGGCCATCTCAGTCGTCCCTTGGGCTGGATGCTGCACCCCAGTGCCAGCCCAGCATCCCGCAGGGCTGCTCTCCCAAGGGCTCCTGGCCATGCGAACCCTCAGGGACCACAAGCAGCCCCTCCAAGAATGGCTGCGATGATCACAGCAAATAAAACAGCATCCAGATGATGTTACCGGGCGATACCCACCCATGGGGTGATTTTCTCCTGAGCTCTGAGCATCTCTCCAGAGACCTGCTCATCCGATAAAGTATTGACTGCGTGGCCGCCACGATGTTAGGGTGAACTGAGACGGAGCGCTGAGTTCTCCCCTCAATATTTCCCCACATCAGGCTATGAAAAGCAGCTTGCCAAACACACTGCTACTAGCAAACTGCAAAAAGTGGGAGAGCTCAGCGAGGGAGCTACTCGTTTCCTGATGAATTTGCTGTTTGTGCAAAGGCATTTTGGCCAGTCCCACTTCAAACCGTTTGCTCCCAGAAACACAGCCTGTCCCCTCTGAAGGCAGAATCAGAATCACAGAATGGTGGGGGTTGGAAGGGACCTCTGTGGGTCACCCAGCCCAACCCCCTGCCCAAGCAGGGTCACCCAGAGCAGGCTGCACAGGACTGCGTCCAGGCGGGGCTTTAAAAT